TGCCAGATTTGGCAATGATCACTCAATGAGTCGGCGACGATCCCCTTCCTCAACTAACTGGCGCTCCAATGACAAGACGCCCCCAAGCAATTTGACGTGGATCCAAATTCAGGAACTCCACGGAGAACACCTCCATGAAGTTTCGTTACTTAAGGAAGCTTTCCATCCTGAATAAAGAAAGAAAAACAAAACGCATTAGAACTGGTCATTAAAAACCTGTCTTCTCATATCTCCCTTCAACCAAACAACTTACACCTTAAAAGGGTCACCACCGGCACCCTCGACGGCTGGGTTGATGTGAAAGGGACCATTGCCGCCGTGACATGGTACCATCGCCTCTTCCCCAAAGTGAGAATGGGGGAGTCCAGGGGGGATCCCCGGAGCCACCATCCCGTTGGGGAGCCAATAGGGGCACAACCCCGGGCATGAGTAAGCACCCCAGGTCAGGCTTGAACCCCCTCCCCACTTGAGTCCAAAACTTATCGCTGCAGCATGAAGCTGAGCAAACAGAAGATAGGCCCAAGAATGAATATGTCTGAATGCGGACAGGGTCTTCTCAAAACAATCAAAAGCCTACAACGGCTTAATTGGCGTGGGCATGGCCCACAAGCCAGGACATCCATTGTTTCCTTGTACACGGCCAATCTTTGACCAAAGCCCATTGTAAAGGGCCTGCTGGAAGACGTGGGCTGCATTCTCTCAGGACTTGGGCGTAAAATACCAGCGCCCCTGGTACTGAAGAGGTATCAGGGGGATGTTCTGGTTGTCCAGGTCAAAAGACTCCGTCAAGTATGAAGTTTGTCCCGGTGGCAGGTATGGGGGAGCTGAGGCCCCCAAGGCAAAAACCTTGGCATCAAAAATGCAAGACAGGCTTGAATAATACCCGTACAATGCTGTCAGGAAATGCCCAAAGTTGGGGTAGCAACTCGGGGCTTTGGGACTGGCCAGATTCTTTAGGTCATTTGTACCCACTCTTACAAAGATGTGAGTAAATTTGAAGTCCTCGGCCAAATTCAGGTCAGCGTAGACCCACTTTTTCATCTCCTCAGGGGTCACTACTTGGTCCCCGCCAACAAGAGTGGCCCAACCACTCAGTGAATACTGAAAAGGAGGATAAACAAAAAAGAGGTTCTTATTTGTACATTGGTCCCATATCATTTTTTTCTTCTCACCTGAAAAACTTCAACTGGGCACCCCTCAAACAAATGTTCAAAATTGTAAACTGCCCGATTGACAGGGCGGTCTGCTCAAAGGGTGTTGCAAAAGGTGTGGCGACCCTTCGCCAACCTCCAGGGGATCATCAAAGATGTCCCCAGGATCAAAATGTGGGGATAAGAACCGTTGTTCGTCGACGGCGGCCCTCAATGAGGGTACTCTGGGCACCCGTACTTGTAGTCCTGGACTATGCATCCAGGCACCGGCATTGCGAAGGAGGATGACTTCAGCACCCGCTCCAGAGTCAGACCCAGCCTCTTGAAGGCATTCTGCTTGAAGATGTATGGCTGCTCTGGCTCAAACAACGAGTACTTGAAGGGATGATTGGCGCTCCCTGTCAAAATACATAAAGAAAACATACAATTAGAAAGACTGTACCAAAAGACCCCACTCAAAAAGTTCTTACAAGGGTTGAGGATCTCGGCGACGTCCGGATCCAAATCCTCATCAATATCCTCCGCTGCCAAATTGATGACAGGAGGATTTGCAGATGGAGGAACCACACCAGATGACCCAGCGCGGTTTTTTGAAGGACCGGGGTTCAAATCCCTGCTTGATTTGGTGTCTCTTCCCCGCTTTTGCGGAGAACTGGGAACCTGAATCGCAGTTAACAGCTTCAGCAAAGTTTCCTTGCCAGAAGACTGGAGGCAAAAATTGTCCTCGGCTCGGTCAACCCACAGCCCCTGCAAAGCGGCCATGGACCCTGCGTAAATCTTTGTCTCTCCAACGGACTGAACCTTGACCGTGCCAAGGCTGCTTTCTGCACAAACCAGAATCAAAAACCCAATTAATGACACTTGTCTGCCGGTCAAATCTAAGAAATCAGGGGAAATTACCCTTGATCGTTTCAGTATAGCCAACACCCTTGGTGAGGTAAATTTCCGGCATCCCAAAAACAGCACCCTGAAACGACCCGGCGTGTCGGCTGAAAACATGCCGCATGCTGGCCTCGGCTTGGGCCACCACCTCACGTTCATGCCGACTCAGTTCCAACGAAACTGAATTCTGAGCCTCAAGGCTTTGTTTCTGTTCCTGGATCTCGGCACTTTCATGTGCCACCCAACGCAGCTTGGACTTCTGAGACAACAGCTGCTCAGCAGCTCGCTGAGTTTCCGTCTTGATCCTATCCAGTTTGGCCCTCAAGCCATCTTGGCTGAGGGTCACACTCCTCTCCCAAGATACAAATAGGAGGAGATCTGAGAGCCGATCCAAACTGGCCAAATCCAGGGCAGAGATCCTTTCAGAGATCCCACTATGGGCAGCCGGCAAACAAACCGTAATGAAGTCTTCAACCAAGGCTTTGTTCTCCTGCATCTTGGAGTCACTGGACACCGCCAACATAAGAGGCGGCCTGTCTGGAATTAATCAAGACAAGAGAAAGAAGGGAAAAAGGAAATTTTTTGTTTAAAAAGGAAGAGTTCTGATAATCTTGCTCAAATTTTTCTCACCTGATTTGCCCTTGCTGTCTAAATCGGGGCACTCCTCAAAAGCTTCCCTGTCTTCAGGGATTTTGCCATAGGTCTCTCCATGACCCTGGCTGCTTTGAGATGCATTCTTATCAGAACCCTCCATTGCGCAAAATTTTTCTTTTTCTTTGTATGATAAGCAATTTAGCAAACGAATAGAAACTTCCCTTTTTCGTCTGAAACAGGGAAACAAAAAGTGCACTTCGTATTAATGGACAGCACAAAAAAAAGGTCAAATTCCCTTCTATTTGCTCTTGAAAAGGACTTCTTGAACACGAAAAACACTTTCGAATCAAGAACTCTTGATGAAAAACAAAGCGCTGACCAACGACTGATCAAGCGGGTGAGAAAAATCTGCCTCGACCCATCTTGCCAAGTCGTGACCAGCACTTCTCCACAAAACTTGAGCTCTTGTCACGAGAGAAAAGCAGGGGGAGAATCCCGAGAAATGCACTGTTTTTCAACTGGCACAAGGGTGAGACATTGAAATCATCTCTAACCCTGACCCAGTTGTCAACTGTACATCCTTCAAACTCCTCCCTGCTCCTCCGACGATCACAACGGGAAACCAACAAAAACCAACAATCAAAGCTCAGCAAACAATGACCAACTAAGGAAGTATGTGACTCGATCTCACACCTACTTCCCTAGGCAGCCAGTAATTTGCTCAAGCTCAGACGAAAAATTACTCAATCGAATACGCAATTGCAGGGACAACAGAAAAGAGTGCGTGCCCTTTTCCTCACCCCAAAACAAACAGTCTGATTTTAAATCAGAGTACCAGGCGCCAAACGATAACAGAATTGCCCAAACCACTGAATCAGCGGGCAGACCTCAGCTGGCCACTGATTGTGTCCGCCACAATTCAGCAATGCAAAAGACCAAAACAAAAGTTTTTGCGATGGGGCAAGAGCCCAAAACGAAATCGGGAAATCACTTTTTTTTGGCAGAGTCTTCTCCCGAGAGGAAAGACTCAGTTCCTCTCGGACTTGCGCAAAAACCGATTTGCCAACCACAGAGGATGCCACGGGAAGTAACTCCCCGTGGACTTCGACCCCTGTCTGACACGGTGCGCAACAAATCCAAAACTGTGAGATGATGAACGCCCGACTCAGGGTTTTTATATCGTCTTCGAGCTGTGTTTTTCCTTGGGAAAACCAATCCGCCTGAAGACGAGGGGGATTTTGTGAGAAATTACCCCCAAGTCGAAGTTTGTGTCATGTTTTTGACGCAATTTATTGGTCATCCCCGAAGTTCAAAACTTTGGGGATTATGTTTCTGAAAGGGGGCGCCAATGAATATTGGCGCCCCAAAAGACATATGGCTCAGACCGGCTGGCGGCTGTTAAGCCACCAAAAAGAGATAGAATCCCGGAAAAATGACAGGGGTTCCCCTCTTTTATGAGGGGACTCAATTACCTCTAAAACACTCAAAACTCAATGATTGCTGCGCAAGCGCCTTCCACCCCCCCCCCTCAGAAGCTCAAAACAAGGACACAAACGGTCCGTGTCGAATTTTATAGAGAGGAACCGATTCCTTTCTCACGAGTCTTTTACGACCAAACCTTTTCATCCCAAAAATCCAAATTTTCGGGGAAAACGACTTTTTACGAATTTCCGTAACCTGATAAATCAGCCCTCCCAACAGTTGGGCTGAATTTACCGGGATCCGGTGGATGTTCCTGATGTCACTGACAACAAGCCTTGGGCTTGAAACAAAGGATCCCGAAAAGCATAAAAAGGACCTCGACAGCAGAATCATCATCAGAACGACAAGAGTGCTGCAGAAGGTCGCTTCAAAGCTTCGGAAACATTTTTCAGTGTTCTTTGTCAAAATTGAATTTGCGGAAACTTGACGCGAGAAGTCTGGCGTACTATTGATACAAAGTGTTCAAAAGTGTCTCTTGAAATATTGCGTAAGGTTGTGGAAAACATGTTTGCGCTTATTCCGGCAGGTCGCGTGCCTGCCAATTTGTCTACTGATCATTTCTTCTGTAGATTTGAGTCTTGTCTTCTCAACCCAAATCCTTAAACCGACTTTTGTAAAACCCTTTTCTTTAAGGGCAACTCCGCGATCTTCCAAAGAGTACGTACATTTCTCTCCTGGGACAAAATTTCCCAGCCAAAAATTTGTACACATGACATAGCCCATGATGATCCCAAATTCTGGTTTTATAACAGTATTTGAACAGTATTTATTCGAAAATTGAAGAGGGGTCGAACACTGATGTAATCTTCAAGTGATGGAAAAAACGCTGAGGAGGTTTCCGTTGAGGGACTTTCGTGCGTCATGCATTAAATTTTCATCAGTTCCTCATCTTCAATGTAATTTATCAGTCAATAGTGTGCTACTCACTTGGTAAATGAACAAGGGATGGTTGGGGAAACGGTCCTTGGTTTCCTGAACAATGTCCAGATACGCGATTCCCGGCACCATAAGCATGTCCGCTCTTTCTTCAACATCTCGCGCCTACGTCGATAAAAATGGTCAATATCAATCAAAATTCATTCTACCGGTTCCACCATGAAGTTTTTAGTCAACTATGGAAACAAGAATACACCTTAAAATGGTTTAAAAAATGTCCCCTTGATTAGATTTTAAATTCAAGTTCAATACTATGCCTCCCTTAATCGGAGATTTTTGACACTCATTTCCGTCGACAGGCGATCTAGATCCAGAGAATAACTTCTTGACACAAACTCATCGGCATTTTACTGACGAAAAATGTTGGCCAGGAATCTGGGTGAAACTCCTGTTTTGAAGCAACCCATATCCGCGCGTGAAATACAGTCGTGAGACCCGAACATACGGATGAGTCGACTTAGGGACACTTAGTTGAAACTAGAAAAAAATCTGCCCCAACATCCTGACGTCTTGAGATATGGCCGCTTTCCAATATTTGTCAAAAATGGAAGATTTTCATTTTACGAAATTGTATCTCTCGATTAAATTGGACGATTTATACAGTATCATCTGACCAAAAAAACATTTGGGGCCTTGAAAGAAGCTTCGTTGTAAAATAGAATTTGTTCAAACAAATTTGAAAAAGCACTACGGCTGTTGCAAGGGGAAAAATTTTTATTTGTTGTAAGCATTAGTTTGTTATGACGAGATTTACCGCAACAAGATTTTACTGTATTCAAAAATTTAAAATTACATTTCATTACAAATTCACTTAAATTCATTCTTCAAAAACAGGCTGATTTGGTGCTTCTTTTTTCAGTTTTTTCCATAATCTCTGCCCTGTATAGCAAGACTTATTCTTCTTCTTTGCTTCTTGATCTCCTTTTGATGCCAAATGGTCTGATTCCATGTGAGTTTCTTCTACACATTTACTTACTGTATCTCGAAGTTGACAAACAATTTTTATTCAATTTGAATTTTAACAATTTTTATTTTTCAATAAGCTCTAGCCTAAGCTTGAATATCTAATGACTATGAGTAATCATCCTGGAATCGGTTCGACGAATGGGCAATTTTGTTCGACCTACATTTCATAGTGCATTTTTTCTTCGTGATAGTTTTGGAATCCTTAATTGATCTCGCATGGCATGCATTCATGTGATAATTATTCCCCCAGGGGATTGGTGGCGATGGTGCTTTGTTTCGTTCTATTCGGATCCACTGTTATGCCTTATCGGCCCTTCAATCGTCCTCATCCTGCCTTCTGGCGAATGGCATTTTCTTTCAGTTTCATCTACGAACTCATTCTGATTTTCCTTCTATTCTAGGTGAGTTTTATTCCCTCACCTTCGTCAAGTTCAAATTGTCGATCCTTGATGTAGTCCGATTGTAACTCATCCTTTTGATGACATTTTTGACTTGTGTGATTTTAATACTTCGATCACCCACGCCCAAAATTCCAATTTTTGTCTGAATTTTTTTGTCTTCAAATTTAAAGTTGGATTACATCGAATTGCATAAGGCTATAAAAATAAAATGTATGATTCGTGCTGTACCTGTTCGACATTCAAGAAGGCAGGAGTGGGATTTGTTCGTGCAGAAGTCTTCCGCATTATCAATCCACATTTTTTATTTCTATCTTTTTTTTTCATCAAATCGTCAAATTATGATCGGGAAGACTCCGAATGATGCCCGCAAGTTGCTGAAACATAAACTGCTACATAACATAGTTGCAAAACCTTTACTGTTTTCTTGTTTCGAATCCGATTTTGGGGGCGTTTGACGTTTTATAGTCACCTCTGAGGTTTCTTTCGTGTACACATTGAACAAGAAATTCATAATATGAACGAGAAAATTTGTTTTCGCTTACAGAGCTAGGAATTTTTCGGCCGTGTCTCGGTCTCAATTTCAAGGCAATGCTTACTTCGTCATTGGCTCAAGTGAGGATCGGCTTAGAAATACTCCCATGAAGAATACATTGTTGGTTTGGGATTGTTGCAGTCGAGGGAAGTTTTTGTGTGTATGGAATGATTCGTTGCTGTAAAAAGATGTGTTCTTTCCAGACGTTTTGAGATGTGAGTGCATGTGACGCCGCAGACTTCTTGAATATGTGATTGCTGGACAATCATCTTTAATTGAGCATCGTGCCGAGAAATTTGGTGATATTCCCGTTCGATCAAAATTACGGGGCAAAATGATTTCCTTTTTACAATTTATGAGTGAAAAGTCATTTGCAAGAGGTGAGGCTCAGATTCGTGACTTCGTCGATTTGATTGACTTATTACCCTTGTGTTTCATTATTCGTTCGTAGAATCTCGTCCTACGGAAATAGCGATTTGGATGTTGAACTGAACGAATCTCTGTAAGTACAACATTCCAGTACTGTATACTTGTTATCCTTCGAATTCTTTGCGTGATGATTAACTTGACAAGCATATGTCTGATCAACTTGATGCACAAACTTGAATCTGAAAAAGATATTGCAGTACTTCGCTTTTTTGTCAATCCACGTTCAGAAACCAATCGATCTGGATAATTTTTCCCAGAGACTGACCATTTCGAGCATCCGAACTACGGCGTATGGAATTGCGGACTTCGTACGGCTAGATCGCTTCTGGTGTGAGTTACGTATTTTTTGGGAGCGAAGAGAATAATCGCTGGAAATTAACATGATGTTCAGTATTTGACAAGCATATGTCTGAACAATATTGATGCCGTAATTCTTTAAATCTGACGAATCTCTCGATTCAATTGTAATTGCAATAGAATTCTATTCGAGGCATTAATTTATTTTTCGTCTTCTACTATTCAGGGTTCTTTGATGAGTATGGATATTCTCGTTAGAAGAGGCTTTCGACTGTTGCGACTACTGTATCAACAATAGGTAAGTACTGTCCTTTTATTTTGATGGGATATTCGTCTCAAATGATGCGATTTTGACAAGCATATGTCTGATCCGTGTGAAGCCAAATTTTTTGAATCTGATATGGTGCTACTGTTCAAATCAATTCGAACTGCATTTGAATTGAACTGAGAAAAATTGATTTTCTCAATTCTTTTTTGTACCAGCTGGAGTCTTGAAATCCCTGAAGACGATCCGAATGATGACCGAGTCTGGTGTTATTTTGCTGTTCTGATGATCTGCTATTGCGACTATTTCATCAGCAGAAGGTGAGGACTATTTAGTACAGTATTTCTACATTTGAATTTGTTGAAAATTTTCCCTGAATGATGTATTTTTGGCAAGCATATGTCTGATTACTATGATTTCGCACTTTTAAATCTGATTCATGAAACGATCGAAATAATTTGAATTTGGTGGACTGAATTCCTTCTTTTTTCTGTACTACAGGTTGGAGTGGAAGCCACTGGAAGTTATAAAAGTTGACGAGTGACGTCTGAGTTGACAGTGTTTTTGCTGTTATTTTGATCGTGCCTCTTCGACAATGTCGACGATTATCATCAAATGGTGAGGACCCTCCTTTAAATCTATTTTTTTCGTCTCCAATGATGCATTTTTGACAGCTGAAGTC